GTGAACACCGGGTTTGTTTGACTACTGATTGTTGGACATCTATACAAAATGTAAGTTACATGTGTTTAATTGCTCATTGGGTTGACGATCATTGGAGACTTAATAAATGAATCATAAGTTTCATCCAAGTCCCCAACCATAAGGGTGATATGGTAGGAAAGGAATTGATATCTTGCCTTCAGGATTGGGAAATTAATAAGATTTTCTGTGTGACGGTTGATAGTGCCTCATCTAATGACGTAGCAATAATGAAATTGAAGAGCTGTTTTCTAGAGAAGAAGAATGGTCTAGTTCTTGGGGGAGAAATGCTTCATATGAGGTGTTGTGCTCACATTCTCAATCTTATAGTTTGTGATGGTTTAAAAGAAATTAGCAATGCTATTTCATCCATTCGCAATGCTGCACGGTATGCTAGCTCTTCCCCAGCACGACTAAAAAGATTTCGAGAGAGTTGTAAGGATGCAAATATTGAGTCTCGAGATTTATTGTGTTTGGATGTATCAACTAGATGGAATTCCACCTACATGATGTTGCAGGCCGCAATAAAGTTTAAAAAAGCATTTGATGTTTTGGAAAGTGATGCAAATTATACAAAGTACTTTGATGAAGAAAGGTCTAATGGGAAAAATATAGATGGACCACCAACACATGTCGATTGGGACCAAGCAGAAGCATTTGTTGGATTCTTGAAGACTTTTTATGATATGACATTGAAAATTAGTGGCTCTTTATATGTAACGTCAAACACTTTCTTTCAAGAAATATGTGAAATTCATGCGGAGTTGAATGAATTAGCTAAAGAGCCAAATAGTATGATAAGATCCATGGCAATTAGCATGAGAAGAAAATATGATAAGTATTGGGGCAATCTTGAAAAGTTTAATCAATTGTTGTTCATAGCAACAGTTCTTGACCCTAGATGCAAGTTGGAATTGCTTAAAGTTAGGTTTGAACTTATTTATAATGTACAAATTGCAAACATGTTAAAAAAAGTTGAAAACACGCTTCACAGGTTATATGAATGTTATAAGGAAATGATGACTCCACCATTAGTCCCACCAAAGGATGCTACTCAACCTAGAAGCCAAAGTGCTTTTCAAACTACTTTTGGAACTTCTAAACTTGTTCCCTCAATTTTTAGAGCTAGGCTTATGCAAGAAACTAAAGCAGAGAAGAATGATTTGGTTGATTGCTTAAATGATCGTTGTGAAGATTTGACCAATGATGATTTCGACTTATTAAATTGGTGGAAATTGAATGAAAATAAGTACAAGATTGTCTCCCAAATTGCCAAAGATGTGTTAGCCATTCAAATATCTACGATTGCTTCTGAGTCTGCATTCTCTGCTAGTGGTCGGATTCTCGATCCTTTTAGGAGTTCATTGAGTGCAAAGATGGTTGAGGAAGTGATTTGCACTAAGAATTGGTTACATAGTAACAAGAAACCTATTGTGATTCGTCAATATTTGGATGAAGTAGAAGCATTAGATGATTCAGAAAAAGCTATAGAAGGTATTAACGTATTTTATCTTTCTATTCTCTTTGTTTTATAGTTTTTTACACCATTGAATTTTAATAAATGCATATATTTGTTATATGCAGATAACAAATCATGTGTTACTACTGGAGATGTTTTGCCAATTAGTATTGATTAAGAGATTAGAACAAATTGTTTCACTGTATTGAATTATTAGAACTGAAAAATATTTCTTCATAGTATTTATAATAATACTAATATTCATATTTTAACGTGATATTTAAGATTAAAATTTATGATTTAACTTGTTCGATGTACATTTTTTTCGTTAAATCGGAAAAAAGTGGTTTGGATTGGTTTGATTTGAAAATTGAATTGGTTTGGTTTGGTTTGAAAATATTTCAAACCGCTTTAAGTGGTTTGGTTTGAAAATTTGTCACAAACCGATGAAATCGAACCGTGTGCACCCTAGTTTTGGGACCACAACTGTGATTTTTCGTAAATTTTAATGGATCCAGCTCGTTTCAATACGGTTCGTTCACTTTCCTTACACTTAACGTTTTTCATGGCCATACGACACCGTATCCAGCTTCCCAATTCTTTTCTTCCTCCTCTTTTTGAGATCATCAATCAATGGAGAGACACATACAGATCTTCCTCAACAAGCTGTCATTTGCAGCAATAACCATTGCTACATTAACCCTTTTACTTCTTTACCTTCAGACCCCTGAAACCTGCGTGGATCAATCCGACCCGAACCCGAAGCCCCACACGCGGTTCCCCAGAACGACCTGTGACTTCACCCACCGCTCCCACACCTCCCTTGACAAGCGCAACCGCCGTAGCTGGTCTACAAATGCCTGGGTCCGGGCCGTGTCCTCCTATACCTCCCTCTTCAAGACACTCCAGGTTCAAAGCCACATTTCGAACCATTCCCGGGTTTTGATTGTGTCTGCCGGGCCGGGCCAGGCTGTCATGGCGCTGAATAATATGGGTGTCACTGATGTAACGGGTGTGGAGTTAGTGGATTCTCCGCCACTAGTGAGCCGGGCGGATCCACATAATTTGCCTTTTTTTGATGGGAGTTTCGATTTCGGCTTCAGCGGGTATTTGGATCGGGCATTGTTTCCAGGTCGGTATGTGGCTGAGATGGAGAGGACGGTGAGCAGTGGGGGTGTTTGCGTCGTGGCTGTGGAGGAGTGTGGGGCGCGGGAGGTGGATGAAGTGGTGAAATTGTTTAAGAGATCGAAGTTTCTTAGTGCAAAGAATGTGACTTTGGCAGGGGAGATGATGACGAGAATTATAATGAGAGTTATGAATCATTCCTGAAGCTTGGATTTTGGATTATCTTGACAGGTTAGGATTAGAAGAATTCTGTTTTTAACTTTTGAACCAATGGTTTGAAAAACTTGTTCATTATAATTAGTTGATGTTGTAATGTTATTTGTGTTTGCTTAAAGTTTAATGTGAAATCGAATCATTGAAATTAAGTTCCGGAATGTTTTTGCATTTTGTTAATTAGATGTAATGGCAGCAGAGAATATATTGGTGGTGTTCGATACTAATCATTGGGCTGGACTTGTTAACTCACCGGTTAACTTGTAAAAATGTCACATCTGATTGTATGGTGATTAAGAATGTGTATGTGTTCTCTGACAAGGAAGCTCAAGGAAAGTTACAGCTCAGTATTGTAACAAGATTTGGAGCTTGTATAATAGCATACTGTAGTTTATAGAAGTTTTTACGTTTTTGTGGAAAATACAATCATATATAACTTCTTCTTGCAACAAGAATGACCTTGTGCCTAAGGGAAGGCATGGAATAAATGTGCTGAAACATGAAAAAGAAAGATGTGAAATGGTTGTTCATTTACTGGAGAACTAACAAAAATGTAATATTTGAGAATATAAAGCTCAATGACTTTATAAACCTGTTTGCGATAATATCATTCATGCCTTTCTGGTAGGCTATTGTTTATATTGGAGAAACTAGATGTGTGAGTGAGGAAATGTCTGTTGGTTGTCATGCCTAATAATCGCTGCTTGGAAATTTGAATGGAAGTTTATTTGAACTGATGATAGATTAGTTTAATTTCTCTTATCGAGTTTAGAACCTTGGTTTGTAGATTAATGATGAGTTGGAGTCATGAATCATTAATTGCTAGAAATTGTATTCCATTTAAAGAATGAAGTATGTCTTTGTCCCATGGTTGGCAGTATATTTTGTGAGGACTACAGACTGTGATAGAAAATTTTCCTATTAGTACAAGAAGTATATCATTACTACATTCAGAAAAATCTTAGTCCTTCCCTTCCCCCTTGCATTTCATTAGATCTATTCTTTTTGTCTTTTGAGAAAAATGTTTCTTTGTGGCAGTTGCAGACGTTACTGTAATTAATTGTGATTCTATTGATGGAGGGGAGTCGATAATTTTACTGCTCTCATCTCTTCTTTCCATGCCGCAGGAATGCTTTCCAAACAATGCATCATCCTTCATGAATGAATGTGTCTCGACTGATTTTGATTCATTGTAGAAGCTTCTGAAATAGAAAGTGTGTGGTTGAATCTGATCAGAGGACAGATCCTAAATAGGAATGAAATGTAACCCCTTTTGCATTGTAGCTTAACATAGTTAGAAGATATGGCATTGGCATCAATCACCCCATAAATAGATTTGTTAATATTGTTGATCAGAAGAGAAAATTGTTGCTGTTTGTTAGGTTTATGGCTGAACACAATGCATAGGGAAAAGGAAAATTCCCCATCTATGTTATGTTGGGTATATTGTTATATAGAATTAGATATATTTATTTACAAGTTTTTAACTGCTAGAATATTTTAAATGATTATATGCTGAAACATTTTAAGTTCTATCCAGCAGTGTGTTAGGTGCTCTTTTCAAACAGTTTTGTGCTCTCACCTCATCTTAAATTTGTTAGTTGATTTCCTTTACCAATCTAAATCACAGTTTCATAAGAAGGGTGTTCTAAAGGAATTCTTCAGTATTGCTAATTAAAAAATTCAGATAGTTTTGTTGTTTCCTGGGGATGTTCTACGGTGCTGATAACCTGTTAGCAAACTCTCTGAGCGAGGGAAAGTAGCACCTTAAACAAACTGTTACTTTTACACACCTTGAAACCACAGATTCATGCGTCCAATCTATCTCTACAATTTTTCTTTCACTGCTTTCTGGAACCATTCATACTTGCACCGCACCAACATTTTATACATTGTAACTATTCAATGATTTTTGAACCTACACCCAGCTCCCCAGATCCGCCTGTGACATCACCAACTGCTGCTACACCTCCCTTGGTTAGTTCTACCACAGTCTGACTTTCTAGACGACATATGCATGGACCACTCCGTATTCTCTTGTACCTTCTTTTTTGAAAGACGCCGGGGCCTAAACTGCATTTCCAACTGGGTTTCGGCTGGGTCAAGTCATGCTCTCCTGGTGCTGAGTGATATAGGCGTGAGAGATGTTATGTGGTGGAGCTACAGGATTCTCTGCTACTTGTGAGCAGGGGAGTTCACATAATCTTCCATTCTTTGATAGAATTTTTTATTTTTGTGTTCAGCAGGTACTTGGAACTGGCCTTTTTTTTCTGGGTACATGCGGCGATTGAGAGGATGGTGAGAAGTAGCTGTGTTTGTGTTGTGGCTGTGGAGTATGGGTTAGGGGAGCTGAAGTTGGGAAATTTTTAAAAAGATCAAAGTTAGATGACTTGAAGAATGTGAATTTGGTGGGGGAGATGGTGACAAGAATTGTAGTGAGAGTTACAAATCACCCCTGAACCTTGGATTTTTTGTTATCTTTTCAGGTTAGAGCACAAGAATTCTATGTTTAAATTTGGTTTGATAAATTTGTTGTTTGTGTTCATATTGTAAATATTAATTGTACCTGATTTTGTTAACTAGATGTTATTTTGGCAAAGAACCCATATTGATAGTGTTAGAAATTATTCCTTTTGCTGGACAAGATATATATATATATATATATAAGAAAAGAGGGAGATTTTCCCAAATCAACATGGTATCAAAGCTAGGGCAAAGAGATTATGAAATTTGTTAATTGTTCTCAATGGTGGTGGCAAAAGTTTGGGTTGGTAATTTTGGTGGAAGAAAACCGACACTTACCTAGGTCACCCGTTGGCAGGGAAGATTGGAAGAGGCTTTAGTGGTGGTGAAACGAGTGTCATCTCTGCTTTGGGTTCCATTGGATTCGAGCAAGTTGGTCTGCTTCGGTGTGATGGTTGCCGCTGTCGGTGTGTGTGGGGTAACCGAAGTCAGTTTGAGAGGCACGTTGGCTTCATTATGTCATCTTTCTCCCACTTTGGTGAATCAACTGAGAGCAACCGATGGAGCTTGGCTATCGAGGAAATCTACCTGACTTGGTCAGTTTGGTTTTCATTAGTTTGGGTTTCGATTTCATTAGTTTGGGTTTTGGGCCTTTCTCCAGTGGGTCAATTTATTTGGGCTGTCACAGTTTTAGGCCTTCATTACTAGGTCAGTTTTCTTTTATTTGGATTGGCTTATTTAGTTTGGGCTGCCTCATTATTGAACTTGCATTATTATTGAATAATTTGAGTTGCTTCCTTCTGTATCTTTTCTGATTATTTGTTAATCATGGCCGAAAGTGATAAGAAAGTGATGAATGAAATCACAGTAACTCCATCCTCCAAAATCACAGATAGAAAGTTAACGGGTAATATGAATTATGCTCAATGGAAGAGAATTGTTCATCGGTATGTATCAAGTATGGATTTAGGCGATCATTTGATTGATGACCCACCTCTACAATCTGATACTAACACTGGGATTTGAAAAAAATGGCTTGTGGAGGATGATAAACTTTTTAATCATATTCAAAATACCCTTGACCCGACAGTTGACGATGTCATTAATCATTGTGACTTGTAAAAGGATTGTGGGACTATCTAGAATTTTTATATTTTAGTAAATAGGATGTATCGCATGTTCATGAATTGATTTTAAATATTTATCGGGCTGAGCAGAAGGGACGAAATCTGTTTCAATATTATACTGAGGTAAAAAGAGTTTTTGAAGAAAAGTGTTTCCTATTACTAATGATATAAGGACAATGCATGAACAAGAAGAATAGATTGTGGTCCAATATTTTCTTGCAGGTTTAGGATCTGAATATAAGGTGACTCGTACTCAGTTACTTACTAGTGAGACACTACTTTCGTTATGTGATATATATGCTCATTTTCTTCGAGTATGCAAGGACAATGACAAGGAACATGATGCGACACCAAGTGAGACAATAGTTCTAGTTAGCACAAACTCAAAGATAAATAGCAATCACAGTATCCAAGGAGGAGGAGGGGGAAGTAGTCAAGATAGAATCTCTAGTGGTGGTTCTCATGGTTATTATTGTGGAGAGCAAGGACATGTAAGAAGGAACTGTTGGAAATTAAACGGCAAACCAGCAAAGTATATAAGTCAGACTTCTATGAGAAAATTTGTCAATCTTGCTACTCAGGATGGTCTTCTACCTACATCGAATATGCTTCACTCTTAACATCAAATTACGATTCCAGTAGACGAATATGCTCGCCTTACACAATTTTATGCTTCTCAACAACCCACTCCTCAACAGCAAGCTACACCTTCAACTTCTACTCTAGCCAACACAGGTAATTTTGTAGCATGTCTTTCTACCACGTCCCGCAATTGGGTTATTGATTTCGGTGCCACAAATCATATGACTTGGAATACAAGTTTATTAGTCATCATTTTAGTCTAAGCCTAATTTACCATGTGTCACTTTAGCTAATAATTCTACAATTCCTGTAGTCGGATGCAAGACAACACATCCAACAAACTCTTTATCATTGTCTTTTGTCTTATGTTTACCTCAGTTTCCGTTTAATCTTTTATCTGTAAGTCAAATTACTAAATCTGTTAATTGTAAAGTCATTTTCTTTCTTAACCACTGTATTTTTAGGATCTTGGGACGAAGTAGATCATTGGTTGAGGGCGTGAGTTCAATGGCTTATATGTGCTCGGCTCTTCTCCCACACAGGTGCCAAGACCTATTGCATGCATGAGTACCTCTTTTCTTCTGCACTTCCATTGTTGCTTTGGTCATCCTTCTCTCCCTGTTTTGAAGAAATTATGTTCTAATCTTAGTCAATTATCTTATTTAGATTGTGAGTAATGTCAATTAGCAAAGCATCATAGGGTATCATATCTATCTAGAATAAATAAACTAGCTACATCCACTTTTGATTTAATACATTCTGATATTTGGGGCCCTTGTCCTTTTTCATCTAAGACTGATTTTCGTTATTTTGTTACCTTTGTGGATGATTATTATCGGGTTACTTGGTTATATTTTATGAAAAATCGCTTAGACCTATTTTCAATTTTGTGCACTTTTTATGCCAAGATTAAAACTTAATTTGATACATCTATACGTATTTTAAGGGGTGATAATGCCAAGGAATATTTCTCATCCACATTTACTTCATTTTTATCTCAAAATGGCATCCTTCATCAATCTTCATGTATGGTTACTCCACAACAAAATGGAGTGGTAGAATGAAAGAATTGTCATTTATTGGAAGTTGCCCTGGCTCTTCTTTTTCATATGAACGTTTCAAAAGAATTTTGGGCAGACGCAATCTCTACTGCATGTTACTTAATCAATAGTATACCTTCATTTGTCTTGGATGGTAAAATCCCTTATTCCATTTTCTTTTCCTCTCAAACTTTATTATCTCTCACTCTTAGAATATTTGTGCGTACTTGATTTGTCCAAGATATGAGACCTCAAGTTTCCAACATGATCCCAAATCACTTAATTGTATATTTTTGGGTTATTCTTGACATAAAAAAGGTTATCGATGTTTCTCTCCTTTCTTAGGGCGTTATATAGTGTCCGTTGATGTTACCTTCTTCGAGTCCACACTCTTTTCCAGTACTTCTGGGTCTTCCAATCCTCCTTTTGAGTCTAAGGATGATTTCTTTGTTTACATTGTAACTACATCTATGCTACTAGTATCTTCTCGTCCGTCTATTTGAAATGTTTACACGTCGTGTGCAACAATCTCTGGTGGCACCTACAAACCATGACTTGTCGCCTCTACCTGCTGCTTCGCCTCAGGATTCATCACCACCTCCTATTCCAGCCTTAATCTTTCCATTGCCCTTCGAAAAGGTAAATGGTCATGTACTTATCCTATCTCTTCTTTTGTTTCTTACCATGCATTGTCACAGTCGTCCAAGTCCCATGCAGGAAGAAATGATGGCCTTGGAACATAATCAGAAATGATGGCCCTAGAACATAATCATACCTAGGATTTAGTTCCTTTACATTCGCCTCAGGATTCATCACCACCTCCTATTCCAGCCTTAATCTTTCCATTGCCCTTCGAAAAGGTAAATGGTCATGTACTTATCCTATCTCTTCTTTTGTTTCTTACCATGCATTGTCACAGTCGTCCAAGTCCCATGCAGGAAGAAATGATGGCCTTGGAACATAATCAGAAATGATGGCCCTAGAACATAATCATACCTAGGATTTAGTTCCTTTACCCCTTAATAAAAAGACAGTCGGATGTAAATGGGTGTTTACAGTCAATATGAACCTTGATGGATCATTTGCTCGATTGAAGGCTTGTTTGGTTGCTAAGGGGTATGCTCAAACTTATGGTGTAGACTACTCTGAGACTTTCTCTCCAGTTTTTAAGCCAGCTTCCGTTCGTTTATTCATTTATCTTGCTACTACTTATCATTGACCACTTCACCAACTAGATGTTAAAAATGTATTCTTTAATAGTGATTTGTAAGAAGTTTACATTGTGCAACTACCAGGGTTTGTTGCTGAGGGGAAGTCAAGAAAGGTCCGCAAACTGTAAAAGTCGTATGGACTGAAACAATCACCAGATGCCTGGTTGGGAGATTTAGTGAGGTTGTGATTAAATTTGGCTGCATATGATCACTCAGTATTCTTTAGACAATCTATGGTTGGGTATATTATGTTAGTAGTATATGTTGATAATATTATGATTACTAGTAGTAAGGCTGGACATGGTCCGATCCAGTTCGGTTCTAAAGATAATTGAACCGGACCCAAAATTTTCAGGTATTTATTATGTGGAGCTGTCAGATCCAAATCTAATTATGAAATTGTTCGAGTTCAGTTCCATTCGGTTCAGTTCGGTTTGGTTCTGTTCCATTCGATTTCCAGGTTCCGTATTATAATTAAATTTTTTAATATTTACAAAACTATATTGATTTAAGTAATGATATGTTAAATCTTAACTCTTACAATATAACGTAGTCTAATCTTATATGTTTTTGCGTCTCTCTTTACTGAGTTATTCATAGATTTGATTGTTAAAATCACAAAAAAGGAAGATAGCAAGCTCACAATAATTAACAGAGGCATTGAGGATAGGAAAATTATATTTTTGGATTGAGCTAAATTAACTAGTTAGCAAATTTATTAAGAAAAATAAAATAATTTGGTTTATTTAAAATAAATTAATTAAAAAATTATGGAGATTCGGTTCTTATTCTTGATCTAGAATTGAGAGCCAAATTGAATCTTGGGTTGGAAAGATAAGATATATATCTACTACTTTCATGTTTACCAAGAAGTCAAATTCACATCATAAGGTTGCCAAAATTACCATGCAAAGTCCAGTTTGTTACCTGTCGGATATAGCTTTTCTACTTGTGAAGCAGCACTCATTGTTTTGTCCATATCTGGAGTTATAGAAATCCAATGACTTGATATTTGCACTAATAGAAAGCTAACTCAAGTGGTAACAATTTATCGGTTGATCATAAGTCCAAATTCACTGCAAAAAGTATATGAAAATTGGTATCAAATTGCATGTTTCAATTGTCTTGAAACTGAACAGAAACAAGTTGTATTGTCTACTTGCATTTTAGATGTTCTTTGTCTATAAAAGAGGACCTTGGCCAAGATTTTGAGAGGATCAATTCCTCTCCATTATATTCTAGTTACATTCATTTTCTTTGTAACATTTCATTATGTATTTCTAAATCATTAGTTAGAGTTAGGGGTGAAACTTTGGTGAATTTGTAGTATTGTCTTTGATCTATCACTTTGTTCTTCAATGTTCATCTTCTTACTTGGTTGAAATATATGTTCTACAAATTATTTTGGTTTGTTAAAGGCTTTGATTTATTGTTGACAATTTTGGCACAATAAATGCTTAGATAATCTCTACATACCAAAAACTTTTTTTGACATATTCTTTCAAACAATTATCAAGAACTATCTTTTAGAATGTTTGCGATCAATGTTTTATCTTCTATATGAGACCACTTCTTAGTTGATTTCCATGAGTTAAATAAAAGATCAAGAACAATTTCTACCAATTTATCCTAAGTGATTCCCCAACGCTCTAGTGTTTGAAAGCTAAGTTGCAGGTTCTTCGTGATTTGATTCAGATTTTTTTAGAGATGGCTACTTTGAAATATGATATTCTATTGCTGGATCGCAATATGAGATTTTTGCTGTGGCAAGTAAAGATGAGGGCTATTTTGGCGTAGATAGAT